CCCCAAAACCCCAAAACCCCAAAACCCCAGTGCTCAATGCTTGGAATAAATATTAGTAAAAAAATTAGATAATATTATCAACTCAAGTATTTTTTTGTTTATTGAATTATATTAATTGGAAAAAATTAGTTATGGGTTGTATAAATTGCAAATCAAAGCCGCCCCATGATGGCAACAAACTGAAGAGTAAATGAGGATAAGATTAAAATGGCAACATTACAGGCAGAGCATCATTTTATCAATCCTCTAAATCGAAAAGCGAATAATTAAAAGCAGAAAGAATGGGGAAAAAGAAGAATTCAAGTAATTTTAATGGAAATAAAAATTCAATGTTTGATTATAAACAAACAAATCAGGACAATGAATTGTACTTTGTACTTCTCATCAGAAACCCAAATAACATTGGTATCTAAGTATTTTAGTTTTTCAATCTATGAGAACTTATCAAGATTGGTTTAGTATCTCAGTAAATATTTAATCGCTTCTATCTTATAAATTTAATTATAGATTATTCTACAAGCTGGCAGGATCTAAAGAATTGGTTTCAAATTTTAGAAGGAGAAACCGAATGCAATCTTTTCACACTCTAAGGAAAGATACAGAACCCTTTTTCAAAGATCAGAGTTAGCCAATTCATCTTGATGACATTAAATTCAAGACTTAATAGAGTAGTTAGTTAGATTTGAGTAATTTGATTGCAATGAAATAACAGTTTGAATAATTACACAACGCTAATATGAGCTAATATCCTCCCATAACAAATATTATTCATGTAAATATCTAGCAGTTAATTCACATTTTTTAGACATAACTCTTATTTACATATGAGAATAAATATATTGAAATAGTATAGCAGTCAGACTAAAATTAATATAGAAATGTAGGGGTAAGAATATGCATTTATAAATTTAATTTTTAGGATTCTTTTAGATCAAATTAAAATGACAAAAACCTAAGCATGAATTAGGGAAATGTATTCAAATCCAATCATAGATAAATGTTTACATAAAGTCCAAAGGTGAAATAAAAAACTGTTGCTAACAATCAGGGTCTTGGATCTAATCCCAATTTTATCAATAATTCAGAGGGAGATTACTTGGTATCTTAGAGTTAGCTTATGAGCAATATAGAGAGCAATAGTAACTTCAATGGAACTGCCTAATTTGGACAAGGTACAGTTTTAAGTATGAGCGAGTATAATTACAATTAGAATCCTACGACCTTGAATCTGCAGTCAACTTTAAACTTGAATAATAATTTCAATGTTAATGTGACTGTTCCTTAAAATATCTAAGAGGCTGCATTTTTCTCTAATAATAACGTCATTTAAGTTTAATAACTTAATAACAACTAAACACCTAAGTTTAATTCACTAATGCACAATAAACCAGCGGAGAATTAAAACACAGTTACAGATTAAGTAAGCGAGAGAGCATTCTCAATAGTTAACAATACTTTAAATAATTTGACATCTCCAAATAGATCAGAATAATTGCTTGAAAGTGTCTAGACTAAACGATAATTTATGGATAAAAAGAACAATAATTTGTTCACAGTCCAATAGCTTTCTGAATGTGAAGAAGAAAACATCGAGGATACAATAGAGCCAGTGCTCTCAATGGATGCCAATATAAATATTCTTATGGGATCACATTTTAAACCTTCTTAAAAGAAGTCAAATTCTGAAATTGAATTTCCAGAAGAACAAAAACCCTTCTAAAATTTGTGAATAGCCTTATCATTTAACAGCAAAATATCTAAATTAATATCTCATGGATTCAATTATTTTTAAATTAATTTTTTTAAAAATTTACCTAATTAAGACTAATTTGTTCTAAAGGGGTTTTGGGGTTTTGGGGTTTTGGGG